TACTGCTAAGATGAGTGAGGAACCACTCTAGTGTCCGTAGACAAAATTTCTCCTCTGTTCCTCTTGGGTATCAGTGTCTACCACCTTTCAGGCCAAGAATAGTATCATAGGACAGCTTGGGTTGGAAGGAACCTCAAAGATTATCTAGTTCCAACCCCTTGCTGTGGGCAGAACTGCCAACTACCAGATCAAGCACTAGATCAGATTGCCCAGAGTTGTGCTTCTGATGTTGAATTTTTTATGTGCTCTGAGAAACAAGTCAGTGAGTACTATTATAGAGCATGAAAGTGTGATATGAGAAAACCCCCTCTCTAGCACTCCCTTCATCCAACAAAGCAGTGCTTTCTTTAGTGTTGCTTAGGAGAAAAGCCCTATGACTTAAAAGGTCACAAGTAGCTCTGCAAAGGCAGTGGTTAGCGCCTTAGTTCTGGGGGATGCAGCTTTTCTTTTATACCTTATATGTTCTTGCTGAGGGTTTCACACCTGTATATTAGCTAACCAGCTTAGACGTTGTCGTTCGAAAAAGCTCATACTTGAAACAAAAGATGTAAAGCCCCCAGAAGGGCTGTCAGGGAGTTCAATCCACTGAGGTATTACCCCGTCATTCTTTTTCCTTTCCTGTTCTTTGTGTGTACATATCTGCCTTTGTACATATCTTCCCTGGCACCCATATGGCTGTGCTGCATTGAACATTCCTGCAGGCGAGGTGAGAGGCATTGCAGCAGAAGGAGCAGGGACTGGAGGTGACCCCCGAGGATACGGATGGCCTCACTGCTTCTGCGGCACAGCCACGTGGGATGACCTAATGCAGCTTCAACATGTGTAATATGCATTGTCTATATTTTTAAGTGTGCTTTATTTAGGCACAGGCAGCCAGAGAGGGGAAATGAGTTTTGACAAACAATAGGAAAACACAGACATCTAAAAACAGATTATTTCCCACTCCTAGGCTGGGTTGTGCCACTCCATGTTCCAGCCAAAGCTAAGGATTTTCATGAGAAGGTAAAATGATGGATGTAGCATCATCATGGCTTGTGATCAACCTGCCTTTCCTTTGAAACGTCTGCAATTTGGACACTTCACTCTTCCAATTTCTTTCCTAACACAGTGCTATGCTTTCTGGGATATCTTCTGTGCAGACTGAATTCCCCAGCTGCTCTCAGCACAGCTACAGGATAAAATCCCACCTACTATGTCCAAAAATAATGAGGTGTGGGCCAGACTGGAGCTGGAAGAGGGAAGGAAGAGAACAGAGTATGAAATAGATTTTCACATGGGATGAGCAAACAGATGGAAGTTCAGAGAGCTGGATACAAGGGACGGTTGTTTGGGAGGCAAATATGAATGAGATCTGTTGGTGATCTCAGCTTTCCCAAATACAGTGAGGAGAACACATTAGTAAAAGGTAAAGATTAAGTGGAGCAGGTGATCCATGTTCCCACACCACACACATAACAGTGGTCCATAGAATCATAACATCACAGAATTGTTAAGATTGAAGAAGACCATGAAGTTCATATCATCCAGCCATCAACCTACCCCCACCATGCCCACTGACTATGTCCCTCAGTGCCACATCTACCTTTTTCTTTAGCATCTTTGTGGATGGTGACTCCCAGACCACCTCCCCAGACAGCCTGTGCCAATACCTCACCATACTTTCTGAGAAAAAAATTTTGCTCATATCCAAACTGAGATGTTCTGCTGTGTGTCACAGCTTATGTAGGAGAGGAGCAGCCTGAAGCATTCCGGCTGTTGCTCCTATGGGGTTTCAAAGCTTGTCAGATCAACAGAGAGTTGACTTTTGGCCAAATTAGACAACCTGTTTTCATTAATGAAAAATTTCCCACGGAATATCTCGATTGCTTATTTTGTCTATGAGAAAAACCCAGAAATAATTCTCCAATCAGCATCACCACCACTAAGAAGCACTGGTTCTTCCTTAACTGCAATCTCAGTGCAAGCTGAATCACAGAATCACAGAATCACAGAATGGCCAGAGTTGGAAGGGACCTCAAGGATCATGAATCTCCAACCCCCCTGCCACATGCAGAGCCACTAACCTCCCCATTTAATGCTAGAACAGGCTGCCCATAGCCCCATCCAATCTGGCTGTGAACATTTCCAGGGACGGGGCATCCACAACCTCTCTGGCAGCCTATTTCAGCATCTCACCACTCTCTCTGTAAAGAATTTCCCCCTGACGTCCAACCTAAATCTCCCCTCCCTCAACTTAAAACCATTTCCCCTTGTCCTGCAGTTATCAACCCTTTCTAAGACTTGATTCCCCTCCTGTTTGTAGGCTCCCTTTAGGGATTCAAAGGCTGCAGTGAGGTCACCCTGCAACCTTCTTTTCTCCAGGCTGAACAAGCCCAGCTCCCTGAGCCTGTCCTCATAGGGGAGGAGCTCCAGTCCCCTGATCATCTTGGTGGCCCTGCTCTGGACCCTCTCCAACAGCTCCCTGTCAACTATACTAACTGTACTAAGATTTTCAGAACTGAGATGCTTCCAAGACTTCAACAGAAAAAACATTTTTTTTAATCTCAGAATCTAGCGAGTAGTCATAAAGGATGGGCTTGGCAGGGGAAGAGCAAAGCAGTGGGGAGAAAGGAGCATGAGGTATGTCAGATCTTTGGCTGAATAGCTCTTAGTCTGTCAGGGTCAGCTGGTTTAAGCAGACCTTCAGCCTGAGACTCTACACCCCTGTGTGAAGAGGGAGCTGTGCAGGAATGCTGCACTTGGCTTTCTTCTCCCATGTTCTCCTGCCAGCCCTTTGAGAACTTTTATTAAGGAGATTTAGGAAACAACAAAAGAGAAGAAACACAGTTCTAGAGTACAAATGTGTTTTGGCTAAGTCAATCCATGACTTGATAATACAAAGAACATGAAAGGCCCCTGAGAACTGGGCTTTGCTGTAATAAAGCTTCTTTAAGAAATGTTTTGGCACAGGGTTTATCTTTTTGCTGTCTTACACCATTTTGATCTGAAGAAAGTGCAGTAATTGCATTGAGTCGGTTTTTCTCTGTGGTCAATGAAGCTTTCCACATATTTCCAGTGCTTGAAAATTGCCAAATATATACATGGGCATCTGCATGCAGAACAGTTCTGTGCTGTTACTAATCCCACCAGAAAGCATGGGGAGATTTCCAGAGAAATGTTTCTTGGCTGGTGCAGGTCTGCTTGTGCCTGCTTCTAATTTCTGAATAAGTCAGAAGAGTGATCTCTCGCCTTTTACTCATGCCAGAGTCTACCGAAATCCAACAGTCCTGCATCCCACAAGGAGTCAGAGGCCCAGTTTACAGGCCTGGGTGGCTAATAGAAGAAAATCCCTGAGAAAGGTCTCACGGGCACCTGAAGAAGTAGGGTTCTGCAGGAAGAAATCTCAAGGCTTGCCTTCAGTCTGACTCACTGTTATCTTGCTATTTGCACAGTGAGCCTGCTGGATTTCTACTCAGTAGCTCTGAGGCTGATACATGTATACAGTAGGGCTGAATTTAGAGCTCTCACATCTGCACTGCAGACCTCTGTATAAGCACTGAATATTTCTGGAAAAGGATGAGGATTCTTAATCCAAAAACATGGCAAACTTGGAACATCCATGAGTCAGAATAGCTCCCTGTCGTCTACAAGTGAGGGTACACACTTATATACTTTCTCTCGCCAAAGGAAATATCTCTAGAGGTGCTGTCTGTGAACCCCTGGTTCATTCAGACTGGGCTAGGTCTGCCAGACGTGAGGCTAGGGCATTGGATTATTTGTTGCTATTATTTGTCAAGTTGCAGGCCTGAAATATAAGCACTTCTTCAGCCTGAAACTCTAGGTGGAAAAGCTGTTTCCATACATTAGTCAGGTATAGAAACACTACTGCTGCAGGGACAAATGCACATCCAGGGCACTTGGGATGTCTCTGTAACTCCACATGCACTCAGCAAAAGAGGTACAATGGGACAAGAGCTCTGCATTACTATTTAGCACTAAAGAGTATTTCCATGGCTGAAAAGGCTTTACTTGCTGGGCTTGTGTTCCTATGGCTGTTGGGAATATCTTGCAGTGCTGGACAGACAGCCCTTCATCAACAGGGTAACAGTGCAGGAAGGGTTCTTTGGAGCTGCTGCTGTCAATTCTTGAGTAACTGCTAAACGCCACCAAAGCAGATTTAAGCCCACCAGTAGGGACGCTTTGCACAAAGCTGAGACAGACCTTGAGTAACCACCAGGGGGCTGCAGGACGGTGCTGCCTGCAAGGACAAATGATGGACCATGGCAGAGAGCAGCTGCCTCCCGGCTTTTTGTGCCAGGGACTCAGTTGCAGGACTCTGGTCAATGCTACTGCAAGGAAAGAGACTCATTGCTTCTTTTCTACAAGCAAAATGCTTCTGACTCCCCAGCCCCTAATTAAAGCTTGTGAATAGAAAGTGCTGCCTTTTAAAGGCAGCTGGAGAAGCTCTGCAATGAGCACAGAACACTGCAGCAGGGGTGCTGGTGGTTATTAGCTTGCAGAGGGACCTTACCCTCTGCCTTCCTCTGTTCAGTCCCAGCCTTTGCTGCCAACAGCGCCTCACATATAACAAGAACCCTGCGGCTGCCAAGTAGAGCCTACCCTCAGGGGAGGAGGAGAACGTGTGGAGAAGGAGTAGCAAAGAGCATTATCATCATTTATACAGCAATGGGAGACTGGCAGCCAAGTGCTGTTGGCAGTAAAGCTTTCAGCTGCTCCAGGAAGATTGAGAGTGTTCTCATAATGATCCCCAGACATCTGCTTCACAGCCATCTCTTGGACTCTCTGGATTGCTTTCCCCCTCCATTTCATGCCTTCCAGCAAGCAGGGTCTACCAGAGTAGACAGAGAGGTGGATTCCCTATATTAGAGCTCTGGGGGGGACACCATGCTCTCTGTATACAGTCTATAGTGCAACGAGGGAGTGTGGTTACCTCCTCGCCCACATCCATCCCTTGAGCTGCAACCTCGGTGATCCATCTGTCCTGTCCTATGGTCACTCACCTTCCTTCTCCTTGGAGGCTGCCTGTCTATCTGTCTCATCACACCCTAAGCAATGCTGGCAGTAAAGACAGCAAAGAGGTTGCCCTGCCTGCGCCATCCTGGCAGGGATGGAGAGCTGTCTTGACTGTGACTGCCCTTTGGTGATGGAACCATAGCAGCAGTGATGTCACAGCTACCCAGATCTGACACAATAACCTATTGCCGTGGGAAGCAGGGTCAGAGCCCTACAAGGCTGCACAGCAGAGCAGGGTGAGGGGCATCTGGCCAAGATAGCCATCACCAGGTCCACTGCCACAGTCACCTCTCACTGTCAGCCATTTTTTTTTAAAGAAACTAGGGCAAAGTTGAGAAGATTCATCCCCTCCTCCCACACTGGGAAACAAACAGAGGCATCTCCATCCAACTGTCTGCAGCTCAGGCACATCTCAGCTGAGATGGAAATGACGTGAGATTCCCTGAGCTGCAGTGGACTGGATGGAGCAGATGGACTCCAGCTAACACAGGGAGGAGGAGGGGGAAATGTAGAGCACACAATGAGAAGGGCTCTAGAGAAAACTCCTTGGCTAGGACTAGGAGCAGACTTCATTTAATTTTTTTTTTTTTTTTTTTTTTTTTTTTTTTTTCTGATACATAATTTCTTAAATGCAGCTCATTTGAGAGCAGAGAGAGACAATGGAATTTGTTTCTTGTTTTTCTGTGAGGATACAAAGCCAGAAGTTTCTCTATGGCAAGGATGCCAGCACAGATGTGCAAACCTATATCCTGGTCACTCAGGAATGGATCATGGCTTCAATACCACTGTTCTAGCTTTTCACCACCATCACCAAGAGCAAACTTTGGTCCGATGTACCCTAAAGAGTTAAGTGGCAGACGATGCTTTAGCAGTCAGGAGACCTGTTGACAGCCTGGCTGCAGCACATTGGCCATTGGGTACTGCTCCTGCCCACATGCACAGGGAAGATCCTGGAGCACCCTGGAGAGAAGGCTGCCTTGTGAGTGCCTCACTCATCCCTGACCTTGCACCCAGGGCTGCCAGCCTGAGGCTGCCAGCACCAGGTGGGAGGATGGTCGTGGGAACAATCTGGAGGCCACTGGGAGTTCAGAACACAATGGCAGCCCCCCTTCTTAGGGGTAGGGAAAGGTCAGCCAGGATCAGGGGTCAGAAGGCTCTGCTGCTGTCTGATCCTACAGCCAGATGTTTGTGACTGGAGATGGCAGCAGGGTAACTGCCAAAAGCCTTCACGGGGGAAGGGATATCACTTGGGAAATTGTCTTCCTTCCAGCTGAGATTTTTGGGCTGGCAGTCAAGAATATCAGTTGTCCCTTGGGCTCTTTTTAGCAGCTACTGTGGCCAAGAGAGGTGTGAAGATGGAGATGTGTAGCCTCAATAGATCAGAGACCCAGTCATCTTCAATTAGGCCAACCAGATGACATCAGAGATAATGTAAAATAACATAAGGCCCTTCACCACAAGAGTTCTGTGATAAGGAATGTGCAGCATTGGCTTGAAGAATAGGCTGGAACACCTGCCTGCAGGTGATTTTGATCACAATTTTTTATGGGCTAATGCCTATGGAAACAAATTAGTGTTTCCTTTATGCTCTCTGAAGTTTGGGGAATGACATAAAAAAAAATAAAAAATGAAGTCATCCCTCAGCTAATCATGTCCTAAACTTAATCTGGCCCTTGTAAAATCGCTCTGCCCATATACAGGAAAGAGAGTTAGCCCCAAATATACAGACCATCTGTGAGACTCCTAGGGAATCTTCTGCTCCACAACAACTTACATATAGGAAGATTTTGATTTATATAGTGTAGAATAACAACTCTGAAATAAAAGCTCTTGGCTTCTTTTTCAATGTGATTCAGGGTATTTTTTTTAATCTACAGATTTATCAACTCCTTTGTGAATAATATCAAGCATTATATTTCAATGCCTGCTCAGATATAGACAGTGAGAGTACAGTCTAAGGACAATATAACACTATAAAAGAAAGCCCATGCAGAGTGGCTCTTCCTTTTCTGACAGTAGCTAGCAGACACCAGTGCTTTTAGGAAAGATATCCTCCAAAGTAAAAAAATAAATGTCCTCAGCCATCTGATTGCTCTGAGCCCTGAAACCAGGTGTTTCAATGACCTTTTAAAGCAATAATGCCAGTTATTATTTATAACCGTGGATATACTTGTCTACTGAATTTCATTCCTATTAGGACTTTGCCTGTTTTTTATTTTTATATTTTTCTCAACAATATTATAGGAAATAAGCTTTGTAGGTTGTTCACACATTGGATGGAAAATTGTTTCCTTTTATTCTGTCCTCTTTTTTTTTTAATCATTATTATTTTTTAGTTTTACTTTTCTCTTGTGGATTAGCTTCTTATTAAAAAGCCTTTTACAAACAGCATCTGCTCACTTCCAGAGATCTGTGGGACAACAGGTCCTGGTGAAACCCATCTCCTTCATGAAATGCACCATGAGACTTAGATAATGAAGGACCAAATAGGACTTTAGTTTTATAACCTGAGCAGTGCCTGCTACTAGGCAAAAAAGCCGTTCGAAACTCATGGCCCTAGAAAGCTGGACATATGGGTTAACCCAAAAGGAATTGAAACCGCTGACTGAAAGAACTCAGGGTAGCAGTAACTTCCCAAGGGAGGGCAGGTAGCTGTTTGGGGTTTTTTTTGGAAAGCATCGTACAGCTTAAATAACACCAACATGACTTAAAATATTAATATGAAATTAATTTAGATTTGTAATATAATCAAACAGCTGATATGAATCAGAACAACAGAGTTTAAAAAACTGAAAACAAATTTATGTTTAAATTGACATGTTTTCACAACCTCACTGTCACTCTTCCCCTTCCTCATTCTTTACCTCCTTCCCAAAAAATCCTGCTTCTTCTAAAAGCTTTCAGCCAGTTCAGAATACACTCTAGAGAAGAAAAAAATGCTTATGATGGCTATCTTCATTTAAAAACAAGAGCTGGGTGGCCTGTCTGCATGTATATACGCTATCCCTGGCTCCTGAAATGAATCAGTATTTCTTGATTTGAACAGAGATCTGTGGTCATTTCTGTCCTGAGCAACAGTTAGAGCATGGAAGCTATTACTGAGTTATGAAATAACACTGAAGTTACATGGCATATGGTTATTCAGGCAGCTGAAATCCTGCCCTGAATAGGTTTGGCAGCTCCTTACTCCCTATCAATGTGAAATAAGTAAGTTCTCCGCTCTCAGAATCCTCATGGATTTTCATCACTTGCTTTCCCACTGTCACCTCAGGCTGCACCACTCCTGGAGGTGTTGTTTCCAGTCTAAGCAAATTTCTCAAGCCCGATCTATATCATTCTCTTTTGGGGGTGTTGAAAAATGCTGCTGAAACCCATGTTATGATCCCAGCAACCTCAATTGCTATCTCAGTTAAGGTGTTACACTGGGACACCTTGAAAGCAGCCATCAGGAGAGAGGGGATCATGGACAGCAGAACAATCTTCTCCCTCTCTATTCCTCTAGGAAGGTGGCTTGGTGGGTACATTGCCCCAAAATAGATGCCTCAGTTTGGCCAGGATTATAGGAAGCCCCAAAGCCACTTGATTAGGTTACATTATACTTCTTCACCCAGTAATTCTTTTCTGTACTGAACATCCAGACAGAAAGCATGCAGGCTTTCAGACAGAGGGTGGTGATCAACGGCTCTGTATCCAGGTGGAGGCCGGTAATGAGCGGCGTCCCCCAGAGGTCTGTCTTGGGACTGGTGCTCTTTCACATCTTTATCAATGACATCGATGAAGGAATTGAGTGCACCCTCAGCAAGTTTGCTGACGACACCAAGCTGAGTGGTGCGGTCAACACGGTTGAAGGAAGGGAGCCATTCAGAGGAACCTCGACAGGCTGGAAGGGTGGGCCCAGGTGAACCTGATGAGGTTCAACACAGCAAAGTGCAGA